ATGAGATGGACCAGCAAGGGAAGAGAACCAGGACCCATGTTTAGACCTAGTCTGTGAGCGCTAGAGAAATAAAATGCACAGGGGAATCATGGTGTTTTCCCATCATCCCTGCAGTAAAACCCAGGGAGAGCAGCCCTGCGGAGTGTCCCCTGCTACAAGCAGGATCTGAGGACCCAAAGCAAACTCCCTCCCCAGCAGCCGCAGCCAGCGCCACTCTTGGCGCTAATTAATGGTTTCCTTCCACCTGCACGGCTGACACAGCTCCCACCTCGGCCACGCGGGAGCTCGGCAGAGGGACGGAGGATGGAGAGCGCAGAAGGAAGCGCCTCCCGCGTCTGCAATGCCGGGGTCGGAGGGCAATGGCTCTTGGAGGGCAGCTGCCATCACCGCCGCTTCCAAAACCGCTAGAGAGAATGAAAAGCCGAAGACCGGGAATCTGGGCGTTGCATTTTTCAGGAGTGCTGAATAAACATGGGAATGTGTATTTAAAGAAATTACCCAGCTTAAATAAACAACTGGGAAAACGTGTCGAGTAATTGGATTTTCATAATCACCAGCTACGGCTTAATTTTAGGGTCAGGGAAGACCTGGAAATGACCTTGCTAATGATTAATAGGCTTCAGTAACCTGGCGGCCCTCCGAGGTGGACAGGTGGAGCTTCCTTTTGAGAGTTTTCGAACAAACATTGCATTAATCTTTTTTTTTTTTTTTATCATGGTCTGTAACAAAATCTGCTTTGATAAATGTATTATTAATTATTAATACTGCAGTGAGTTCTCATCAGTGAACTTGTTCCTATTACCCAATTGCAAAGCGGGCTGTGAGTATGTAGTAAGGTCCCCTCTGGGATACTAGACAATACACAGACACAAGTGGTTTCCTGATTGCACTTATTCACGTACTCAGTGATGAGGTGGCTGTCCCAGCTGGTGAAACTTTGGAAGAGTTAGTCTCGTGCTGATTTTAATGTCATGTTGTCACGAATGTTTACAATTCCTTAGATTCCTCACATGATGCTCTTCCTCATCAAGACACAACCTCATATTAAAATCTTCTCTAATTTGGCTCAGGCTATTAACATGGGGAACACATAGAATATAAAGTTATTTAGAAGGTAAAAAAGGGTTGCAGATATTCAGAAACAAGGGAAAACCCATGTGTGTGGCTCCTTCACTGTAATTTGAAATGGAAAGATATCTGTATGTAGTCAGGACATATATGTATATCTCTCCAAGAAAAATGAGTTTTCTGACTTGAAGTGTCACGGGTCTGATTGATTGATTGTAATTTCTTTATTCAAAACCTACTGGAGAGAAGGGGTAGTTACCAAAAATGGGCTTTGTTTTAGGTGGTACCTCCTTGTTGCTCTGTTGCCAGCTTTGTGCAGTTCCTCCAATAAGGTAGGAAAAGGTGGGCTCACTACCTAACCTCTTTTCACTCAGGCAGTAAGAGAAAAGAAAATTCTTGCTTTCTACTCTTTTCTGTACAAAGTGAACAATTTAACTGTTGCAGGAACATAGCAAATCCAAGGAGTCCAGAGCAGGACCTGAGACTGTAAGCATCTTCTATTAGGACATATAAGAGCATGATCGATTCAGGCCTTCCCTCATCTTTCAAGACAAGGCAAAATGTCCTGTTTTCAGCCCTATTCCCTGGCACAGTCTTGAATTCAGTAAAGAAGTCTGCGTGATTAATGTTAATACTGCCAATAGTTATTATTGCTAATGTAAACATTATTAAAATCTTTCCATTAACTGAAGTATATTTCTTCAAAAGCGTTCTTTGAGATGCCTGTTTTTTATGGAAGATTTACCTTTAGAGCTATTATCTATTGGATATCCTGTTATGGACTTTCTAAAAAGGCCACTATCCTTTAGGTAATTATTTTCTGCCCTATATTCAGTTTTTATCCAATATGTAGCTTTTAAAGTGTTAAATATGCAGCTAAAAACTATTTCTTCTTTCCAGAGTATGTTATTTGATTCTCAACACCAGTATTCGTCAATAATCCCCATAAATGGTAAAAGCTGTAAACTGAAAGTTATAATTAGATCAGGTATATTTTTTGTTGTTGTTAAAAAGGAAATAGCTTTTTTGCCAAGACTGTCAGTTATAACAATGTAAAAGCCAAAGAAAATATTAATATTTTCACTGTACTTTGTTACTGAACAATGCAAATACTTTTCCTCTATATTAGGAAATCTCAGTAGGCTCTTCCAAAAGTATGTCTGAGTCTAAATCACTATCTATTTCTCAACCAAAGGTAGCCTAAACAGTCTTGATGAGATTCATTGTGCACCTCTTCTGTGGATTTCTGGATCATTTTCAAAAGATTGGATTTGCGATATACGTCCTCAGAGCCACCTGTTTGAGGGACTACCTTTTTCCATGGAATAAATTGCTAGTCGTGGTCACAAGAGGTGCTTTCACAGGAGGAATTTTGTGAGAAAGCAGTCTGACAGGATGTTTTCCTTGAGGAGCAGTGTAGAGGTGGGGATCTGGCTTCCCCTCCAGGCAGGGGCAGTCCCCACGCAGCTGGGTAAGGTATGGCCAGGACCGTCCTGCAGGGTCTAGCAGAGAGTGACCACCAAGGCCGGCTTGCGACATGCCCACCTCCCAGGCTGTCACGGCCCTGGATTTGGGTATGAGCACTGGTACCGCTGACTGGGGCTTTCCTATGATGCAGAGTATGTAGTGAGCCACAGAGCATCCCTGGCAGCTTGTACATATATCAGTTACGAGTCATTTCTGCTCGGGATGCTACTTCACTTCTGCCTACCTCTTAGCAAAATTAGAAGAATCATACCCCACCTCCTTCCCTCTGCCAACAGAAATTGTCCCCGTATAGCCCTGCCAGCTGCCTGCAGCCACCTCGCCTCCATCTTACCTCTCCCACCTCTGCATCTGTCTCTGACTCACTGTTACCATCTGTGGGGCTGGGCAGCAAAGCTCTTGCTATCACCCACCCATCACCTAAGCCGAAATATGCTTATGGACAGTATGGCACAATCTGAGATCCGCCAGTTCCACCAGGTGGTCATGTCTCTTGGTCATTGTTGCTTTGTGTTTTGCTAAGTGAGAGGTCGGTGACTGAAGTCGTTTCGATTCATGCAGACTGACATGATACAAATGATTTTATTTAAAAGAACATTACTGAAGGATCTGCTGATGTGTGTAAGAGGAAGGGAAGTGCATGAAAGTTGTGTCAGAACAACAAAAAAAATGTGTTATGTTAATATGTTTACAAAGAAGAAAGCAATAAACCCTAAGAGTACTTATTCTGGTGGCAGAAGAAGATCAGAAAATAGAACAGCAACACTAGCACTAAGTAAGAGTCACAATGTCTGAAAAGACAAATAATTTGCTCGAATATGTGTGCATACAAATACCTATGGGCAACCCATGGATATTGGGAGGGCAGTAAAGAGTAAGCAATAGCACAAGCAACTTTTTCTGCAGACTGGAGGAAAGCGTTTCCCCAGTATTTATAGCAGCTGCCTCACAGGTACGATCTGATGATGTCTGTGTGATATTTATAACAATATGTGGTATTACTGCAAAAGGGACAGTTGTACCTTAAAGACATCCCAGTATCCAGAGCAGTGTGTGGTCACACTCACCCAGAGGGAGTTCTCCTGCCGATAAGAAATGCACTCAACCACGCAGAGCTATAGCAGGAAAACTGGAGTCACCGGAATATGGATTAACTAGTAAATGGTCAATTAGTGACATGTAAGATTTAAAGAATGGGCAAGGTGTAAAGTTGTATTCTGATCTGGCCAGATGACTATTAGGAGAGGGTTGAGACAGAGGTGTTACATTGTGGTTGTATATATCCAAACACCATAGAGCAACCTAAGAGCTTAAAGAACTCCCCTGTAAGCATACATTAAAGGAGAGGTGATGATGTGCAGAGGTAGGAGTGAAACTTGCATTGTCATATCTCTATATGTGCATAGCTGCTTGGCAAATGTTAGAGACGTTTACACTGAGCTCGGTGTCTGTAGCCCGATTCAGAGGCAGCTGAATCGTATGGTCTTATAGTACTGATTTCTGATTAGTAAACACAAAAAGTTTGATTAAAGCCTACGAAAGTGGTTTAGTCATCGCAATTCACAGAGCATGGATTTATTGCAATCAATATGGCTAACATTAAGGATTGAGTAAATAACGTTTGATCGATGGGTTGAAACTACAAAAAAAGACGCTTTTCTTAAGCGTTGTTTGGAGAAAGCGACAGAAAGAGCACCGCTCCTACCAAGCACACAGAAGTGTGCTTTATTTGTATTTTCATGGCTCAAAGGTGGTGTTGAATCTGACTTTATTTTTCTGTAGAAATGTGAAATGTCGATGAATTCGATTGTCCTGCAAGAGATGTTTGGCATTTCCGAATAACCCGTCTGTGATAATTCCTCGTCCTGAGATGCAGCTCATTTGTTGTGGTTTATTGTCTCTCCCTTCTCTCTTGACCTAACATGAGACATTGTTCACTGTCTTGATAGTCATGATGTTTGCACTGCCTTTCCACTTATTTCTGCTGATTTTTTCCCCCTTCATTCTGTATATTTAATTTGAATAGATTCTTAAACATATAGCTGACATCACTGTGAATTTACTTCGAGGTGGTTAGATGCATCGGTTAGAAATATATCCCCATTTTCTTTCTATGAAACATTTCTTCCTTATTAAGATGTCACTTTCACATCGGACATCCATAAAGATTAAGTAGCATATAGGGAGCAATTTCTACTTCTAAGAATAATCCAAATAGTTGCTCCCTAGCACACTGTTCTTACAGTCAGTTGTTAGAATCAAGAGGTAGGATGATATGTAAAATCTTGGTTTTCTGGCCACCCAGTGCTTCCAGTGAAACCAGTCTTGCAGTCCTTCCACACCTGAGTCTCCCAGTGACTACACAGTGCATAAATAACTCAGGATCAACTGCGTGAGCATGAGATTTACAGTAACACAGATCTGATATAACTGTTTTTCTAACACAGGCGAGGCTCCAATGTCTCACTGACTTTGGATATGAGCAGTTTGGGAAGTGTTGAACCTTTCATCACTGTGCCAACCCCACGAGAAAAAGTAGCGATGGAATACCTCCAGTCAGCCGGCCGCGTCCTAACACGGCAGCAGCTTCGAGACGCAGTTGCATGTTCTCATTTACTTCAAACAGAATTCATGGTGAGTTTAACGAGCTTTAAATGAGGATTTTTGACATAATTGGCACAACAGAAACTGTGGGAAAAAATAATTGGACAACACTTTAGTGTCAAGGTACAAATAATTTCCAAAGGGCAGATTAGATTGTTCTAAGGTGGTGTTTTATGTTTATTAACTAAAGACAGACAAGTCAGTATCTGTGTGGATAGTACAGATTCCTCTCAGTTTGAAGTCCCATTCATAGATGGGATAAATGTTGTATTAGAGCTACAGTACAAACAGCCAGAACTGTAGCACTGTGACAGTTTCAGAGAGATTATAAAGGCTGTGATGACAGAAAATATAGTCATAATTGGAGATTTTGTTTATTCCTATGTAAACATCACATATGTCTATAATTTCAAAACTAAATTTTTATTCACTATAAATGACTTTTAGGAGCAGACAAGGACACCACAAAAAAAGAAGCAACTCTTGAGGCAGTCCAACATGTCTTTAGCAAGCGTTCCATTCAGCAAGCCGAATATACTCAAGACCAAAGACTGAAGTCTCCTACAAGTGTATTTAATATTAAAAATGAAGACAGTGGTCAGGTAGAAACGGATCATAGCAGAAAAGCTCAGCCAGGGAAAACACATTATTAAATATTACTTTAAGAAGACCTGAAAAATACTGGTATTGCAAAACAGCCAGATGAAAGAGGCTACCAGAAAAAAGGAGGCACTCTTCACAAATTAAATAGGACACAGCATAAACTGAAGCCAGCTGAATGTAAAAGCTGAATCAGGCAGGCCGAAAAAGGGTTTGACTTTAAAAAAAAAACCCCGTAACTTCATTTTTAAATAGTTCAAAAGCATGAAGCTTACCAAAGAGTACAAGGATCAATAGAAGATCAAAAGGTTAGAAAAGGGATTTGTAGATGATGAAGCAAAAAGAGGGAAGTGACTGCATGATCTGAAGTTGACCACAGAAAAACTTAGGGAATATCCTACCTCTGTGGCAGGAGCAAATTCAAGCAAGTCAGTGAAGGATCTATCTGATATCGAAGCATTAATGGAAGAGATTCTAGGACCAATTAATAAAAAGAATAAAAAGTACTCACTGGAATAAGCTGGTATTCACCCACGAATCCTAAAGGTGTTCATATATGAATTTACTGATGTATTACTTGGGCAGTGTAACCTAGCACTTGGGCCCCAGTAGCTGAGGAATCAGAGGGCTAGAGGTAACAGGAGTTTTTCAGAAGGGCTCCAGAAGAGATCCAGAGAGCTGCAGGCCTAGAAATCTCACGTCTTAATCAAAGAAACTGGAAGGAATTATAATAAAGAAAAAAAGCCAATAGGTATATGAACCAACGCAATGCAGTCGGGGAGAGTCAACACAGTGTAGCGTTGGAACGATTTGTAGGCTATGTGGTTGCTTCTCAGAGTGAAAGGAGGTCACCAGTGGAGTTCCAGATTCATCTATTCTGGAGCAGGTCCTGACCAAGATGCTCATAAGTCATCTGGAAACGGGAATAAATAGTAAGGTAGCAAAGTTTGATGATGATACTGAATTACTGAGGGTAGTAAAATTAAAAATGGACTTCAGAGAAGTTACGGAAGGATTTTATGGTAGTGATGAGGCAGAGGAAATTCAGGGTTGAAAAATAAAATGTTATTCATTTGGGGAAAGTAGTTTTGTATACTTGATGGGTTCTGAAATACAAAACTAGGGATCTTGGGAAGAGAACTGGAGAATAGTATAGAAAACACCTTTATTACATTTGAAAAATCTATATTGCATTCACAACTGCATGCTATTCTCTCCATCTCGAAGCACGTATAGAGGTACACCAAACGTAATCACAGGCTAGAGCAACTTCTGCATCAGGAGATACTAAATAGACAAGGGCTCTTCTGCCTAGAAAAGACTGTGAGAAGCTCTAACAGAAGCCTATAAAATCATGATAGTAAGGAGAAGGTGAATATGGAGTGATTATTCATGTTTTTTCATGCTAAAAGAACAGTATGAAGTGATCAAAGCAATACAAGGAAAAGCTTATCCCGTTCTTACAGTTCCCTGAGATGACTTGCTACCAACTGCTATCAGAGAGTACCACAGCAAAGGAACCTGACATAACTACCCGACCCTTAGCCTAACACTTTTAGCTTTTACAATGTATTAGCAAACTAAATCAAACAAGCAAAGCTTTTTAAGACTGGTTTAATAGCTCTAATTTAATAAACAGAGCCACACAGAAATGTGTATCCTAACAAGGCATGTAAGAGCAGGAAGACCTATACAACCCCTTGAGCATACTACAGGTCTAACAATGACATGCAAACAATTCAGTTCTTTTTAAACGTGCCAGAGCACCTGATCTCTCGGGTTCCATTTTGTTTTCAGTTTGTGAATGTAAGTCAATAGACTAGATGATGAGTTCCATCTTACTCTAAAAATAGTTTTTCATAATGAATAATTGCATCCTGCAAAGCAGTCCTTTTATTCACTCTGAAAAAAGCCAGGGTTTCTAGTAAAAGTCATTTGCTTAAGAAAAATAAATTCCTCAGTTGTTTTACCAAAAATTGGTCAGATGGTCTACATGGAAGAAATTATCAGCATCCAACATACTTTTGTCACCAGTTATGCCATTGGTTCTCGGTCATTCCGCTACTTAGGCAGGAAAGCTAGAAGAAATAACTTCATCATGTTTAAACCCCATGTTAAGAGACAGTTTGTACAGACAGCTTGGCACCTCCATCAAATCCCATTTACTCGAAACCTCTCACACAGCATCCGTGCATGGTTTTGAGGCAATAGAGACTCATGTTTTCTTTGTCCCTCAGGGGGACACAACATGACTTTGGCTGTTCAGTGTTTCCATAGAATTTTATTGAAAAGATCGTGACTAGTCTATTCCATTTTTAAAGCGTTTTTAAAAATGTGTTTTAAGATGAAGTTGTTTAACAGTATCTGTTTAATATCTTCCTTGCTATAGGCAATAGCTTTAGTAGGAACTTGAGGCATGCAAAGAACGCAATATATAACCCTCACTCATTCTGCTCACTCAGCTTGTTTTAACTCACTAAAGAAATACAGTAAGACAGTCTTCTTGAAACTCAAATTATTAGTTCCTATGAAAATCTTCCAAGTGTGCAAAAAGTGGAGAAATGTTCATAATTCAGTGGAAAATTGAAACATGAGCAGTTTCAGGTTATTTTTAGTTCTTTAATTAACATTTAAATTTTTAATTAACCATCTTGGGGACATTGACTTTATTTTTTAATTGTAAAAACTGATAAGTTGCTATAAAAATATTTTTCCATAATACTTATTAAGAAATAAAAGCTATTTTCCGTCTTTTTTTTTTCTTTTAACGCTCACAAAAAGTTTGGCTACTTTTACTTGACAGAATATACCTGATTTGCAAGGAGGAAGAAATATAAATTGCCCAGCATATACTTCTTTAGTAGCCTGAGCTGCTACTATTCAAAAGCCACAATATCTGAAGTTGGTGACAGAACAGAAAAACTCATTATTCCCAAAATACTGGAACGTCAGAAAATACAGTCCTTCATGGGAAAGTGCCAGATTGTTAAATCTATAAAATTTTGTTCTTATAAAAATTGAGGGATGGATACAATGAACATTTGCCTGAATTTTTGTAAATTTTGCCACGTTTTCTTGACTGCTCTCAGAGACCCAAATCATATCTTTTCAAGTGTATGAACAGTTCCAGCATTTAAAGGCTAAGGTGAGCCAGGATAGCTGTTATTAGAAGGGTGTCACCCAGTGAGGTGAATTAGCCAATGAACAAAGCGTATATGCATGTATGCACGTATATGCACGTATATGCATGCATGCATCTGAGCACATGAATATGTGCAACTTAGAAGTTGTTTGTAATTATTTATATACAATGTGTATATATATTAAATAAAACAAATATGTATTCTCTATATAGCTACAGACTTTCTATGCTCATTTGTACATATTCATGACATTTGCAATCTGCTGGGCTTATTTTCCCCCACATTAGCAGGAACGTTATCCCCTGACATCCTGAATTTTTTTCTGGAATCACCTCTTACATTTCACAGCCAGCTTCAGTGTAAGTGACTTGTCTGTGGCTGTGATCCACGATGTATTGTCAGATTTCCGTGTATGCCCTTGGCCCCACAAGTACTTACTACTGGGAGGAGCCCACTGACTAGAAAGTGTTTACAGGATGTAAGCGATAAATATTATTAATTGACCTTGTTGGCCCAGAGAAATGCATTTCTGTTTTCAATTCAGTGGCATTTCGCCATCTGTCAGTAACTCACCAACTCATAAACTATTTTCAAATTTCAGCAGGCATCGAGAGGGAGACAGCCAGGAGGCTGGAAGAGCCCCACTGACCACCGTCTTTTGTTGTGCAGGCAGAGAACTCTTCCTCACACATCTTTTTCCAGTCTCAGTAGTTGACAGATGCCTTTCAGACAAAGGCTTAATGTCTTGCTCTCTCTCAGTCAGTATATAGTTGAAGAGGGGAAACATTTCAGAAGCCATGCACCAGTGGTGTTTATACTAAGACAGAACTGAACCAGGGAACCTCTAGGTCAGCCACTAGCCCAGTGTAAGGTGCTTACAGCCCATACCAGAGCCAGTTAGGACAGTTTGGAGACCAAGAGTGGAGGGGAAGAGTCTCACAGAGGACACCACCAGGATGGGGTGAATGTAAGAGGTGGATATGAGAGGGGTGTGGGAGCTCATTTTGTAATTCCAAGGAGGTGGAAGGGGCATCAGAAGCAGGACAGAGGTGACATGGTTTGATCTGAAGGAATGGGGATGAGGTTTATGCAGGAATTGAGTCTTACAAGTGAGAAGACCCTGTGCTTAGCACAGACGTAATGTGGATGGCAGTACAGGGAGCTGAAAATGGATTGAGTGAAGTACCTGCAAGGAAGGTGTATATTGCACTGGAACAGGTGGCCCACATTGGAACAGGTTGCCCAGAGAAGCTGTGGATACCCTATCTCTGGAAGTGTTCAAGGCCAGGTTGGATGAGGCTTTGAGCAACCTGATCGAGTGGAAGGTGTCCCTGCCCATGCCAGGAGGGTTGGAACTAGATGATCTTGAAGGTCCCTTCCAAGCCAAACCATTCCATGATTCCACAATTCTACAATCTCAGCAGCAGCACTTTGGCTGGCCTGAAATGAGAGGTAGTGAGTCATTCTTTTGAGGAGTTGGTTGAAGAGCAAGGAAGAGATTGAGAAAGAAACTGAGTGAGGGAGATAGGAAGAAGAAAGACGGTCCACTAAACACATGGGCAATAAGGCAGAGAAGGTAGAAAAATAAAAACCAACACAGAAGTTGCAGCTTTGAGTAGTACGATGTTCAGAAGCCAAGTTGGGAAGCAGAAAGGAATCAAAGCTTCATATCAAAACCCATCTAAATGTTACGTAACTTTGCCTTCTCTTCAACTGGAAAAGTAAGAGGGTAGCTTTCCCTGCTTGGTGAACCCATGTAAAGATCTGCTGTTGGATGCATTCTTGGCAAGATGTTAGGAGCCTTGTCCCTGTTCCTCTAAAATAGACCAGCAGCAGCCAGTCATGCTGGGCAGGACCAGAGCTTGGGTCTGAAGGACAGTGGCCATGCATCTCATCTGTGCCAAAGTCCTGGACAGGCCTGTGCCTGTGGAGTTAGAAACTGGCTGGTTTTGGAAGAAAATCCTTAAGTAAATTTGCCAGTGGTGCAAGTCAAAGGAGATTTGCATGAAATAGGGTAGGAACATACATTTTGTGCCTCCTCATATTCCTATATGTCTGTAAGAGGTAATTATTTAATATTCTGCTGTCTCTTTGGATAAATGTCCCAGGCCAGCAAGGAAATTTTCAAGTCTCTAGTAATAACTGTGCTTTTAAGTAGAAGTATTAATTTACTGAAGATCAAATTCCGACTTACCATAGGATAATTTAAATAGTGCCAGCCAAAAAAGCTCAGTGAAAAATGAAGATCTGAGTCAACTGAAGCATTTTCAAATGTGATTTTGCCAGATTGTTTTGGTTGGTAAAATGTCCTCCACGATCAAGAAAAAAAACCCTTACGTGTTTCATCTTGCCATTTTCAAAGAGTTGGTTTTATTCAACTATAAGAACATTAACAACATTTCATAACCTCAAAAATCAAAATCATTCTTCTCCCCCTTAGACCAAGTGAAACATTTTGGTCAATGAAAAATTGGAGGATTTTTACTTTTCATGCTGACAAACAATTGGAAAAGCAGTGATTTTAAGTTGATGAGGAGTTTATCGTTTGTATATTTTTGGAATTTCAAGCAAACTGTCACATTAATTTCTTGCACATCTGCCTATTTAAAGAAGGCAACGTGGTCAGTCACTAAAAGATCAGAATGAGAGTCAAGAGCTTCAGATTTTTATTACGCTTTTGAGTCACTGAATGTAAAAGACTAAACCAATTCATTCTAGTATTTTCTATAAAAAGCAAGTAAGATCTTTGACTGATGTTGTTAAGGGCTTTGCACAAAATTTAGAAAAAATATGTTTACCATATATTAATATTTAATTATTTTGAAAGTTCCTCCCCCAGTTATGTAAAATGTTGTGCTTTTCCGTTACAGTACTGCACTTTTCAACTCCACTTTTCTAGAACTATTGTGTGTTCTAACCTCTCTCCTAATCCTGTAAAAACTTTGCATTTAATAATTCATCAGAAGTGTTCCTTGGAAGTCACCCCTTCGATATGCAACTCCCTGTGTTTATTAAAGGAAGGGTGTTGACAGGCTTGAGGTGGGAACCACTTTTTTTCTTAATAACTTTGATGTCAAAAGACAGTTGTGCAACAGCAGATGGCCTTCTGGTGATAATTTCCTGCGTGGCTCCTTTGGAAACACCAATCTGATTGAATTTATTTTTTATAGGAAATACCAATGAATTTTGTGGATCCCAAAGAAATTGACATCCCGAGTCATGGAACTAAAAATCGCTATAAAACAATTTTGCCAAGTAAGTGAGTTAGCCCGTGGTTTCCTGCTATGACATTTAGTCCTGCTTTGAGAATGTATTGCTGTGAAAATCTAGTGGTCTTTATCTTTGATCGTTGGGTACCTATTCATAAACTTATTTATATTCTATGTAGAAAGAGAACAAAAACCCAGTGCTGTAGGACTGGCAAATGCAGAACTCTCACTGGATGCCTTAGTCGGTACACACTTTGTCAGCATCCCAGCCACGTACTGAAATGCAGCTTGTGTGCATGCTGGTTTTCTCTGGCAGACAGCTCAGGCACATGGGTAGAGAGAGGTCTGCCATGCCTCGCAGTAGCTCCCCTGCTCTGGAGGATGAGAGGACCAAGACTGTTGCCTCCATCACAGCCCACATTGTCTTGCAGTGACTGAATTCCCTCTGTCTGGGTCAAGCTACTTGGGATCCTGTCCAACGTTAAGTGGCCCAGACTGAAAAAAGCAAGTGCATCCTGTCCTTTCTTGTAGGGGACTTCCATCTTTATAAGTCCTCTGGTGTTGTTTCTCTTCTCCGTGCACCACATCGCTTTGTGGAGATCTATTTATATTAGTAAGAAAACCACTGTCACACACTGTTCCTCATCGTTGCTGTAAACTTGTTACTGCTTTGCTATACTGCTTCTGTATTTTCATTGGCCCAAATTATTTATTTCTGACAAAGTAACAATTGCTTTGTTATAATTAGAGGTGATTGAAAACTTTTCAGTGGAATAGTTTTCCTTCGAAATACACATTTCTCTGAAATGCAGCTATTTTCATAACATTTGTTGGGGGATAATGAGATTTTCCGTTTTTCTTTTATTAATCATTTTCTTTTATGTTCGGTTTCAAAATAGGTTGCAGAAGTTTTAACATTGCACTAAATATAGACATGGATATCTGTGTTTTTCTAATATTTTGATATCAGCAAAGTGAAAAAGTGCAGTGATACATAATGTTAGGGGACACTCCCATAGAAAAATGTAAACATATCCCTTTGCTTAGCTCTGGAATGAAGAGTACTTTTAAAATGACTACATATCCTATCAACTAGAAATTTGTTTTCTAACCATCTCCATAATGTCCTTGTAGACCTATATTATGCATTAGTCATGCAAATTCACACACTTTAAATGACATGGTTTCTCTCGGCAAGCCCGAATGTATTGTAATTTGTTCACATCATACAAAGGTCTTGCAGTCAAATTAATGAGAGCTGATGGCCTTCAGCCACTAGATTAGTCTCAGAAATGTGATACGTAGCTGGGAAAGAAATTCGTTGTTTGGAGTCCTCACTTCCCTTCAGCCCCCGGTAAAATTCCTATTGACTTCAAGGTTAGTTCGTCTATTGCAACCAATAGCTGTGTGCAGCTGAGTGCAGTGGAGGAATGTTGAAGGGAGTGAAAGAAATTAAGCGAATAAATGCAAGTTAAATACCAAGTAATCAGAAAATTCAGTGTCCCTTAGAGTCTGGCCCAGTGTCAACAGGATGTACACAGAGGGTAAAATCCTGACCCCTTTGACGACAGCAGGACTTTTGCCATCAGCTGCAGCAGAGCCAGGATATTGCCAAGCCTCCCTCCGTCTGACAGGCGGATTTTTTGAAGTTCTCCCTTCCTGTAGCATCTCGCGTCCAAGCTGCCCCAGCCACCGTCAGGTTCACCTTCAGCATTGCCTTGCAAATGCAATGAGTCCTGTTTCACCGCAGCATGTGTTTTGAATCGAGACACGACAGCTGGGCTGTGGCTGATGCTGATGAGCTTTGAGAACCAGCATGCCTTTTTGTTTTCACCTCCAGTTAGCCGGGACACGCCGCCAACTCCGAGGCATGTTTTGGGTCCAAGCGCGCTGCTGGTGCACACCACAGCTACTCCCTGACAGGCACTTTGTAACCGTCTTCACCAGAAATCAAAAGATCTGTTGTGTGTTAGCACCAGGCTGTTTCAAAGAAGATCTTTTGAGGATTGAGGCACATGCTCATAATAAATACTCGCACACCCCACACCCAGTCCGAGAGCACTTGGAAATGATTTGAGTGATTAAATAGAACAGCTTTCCTGGTTTCCTGCTCAGATGATATCAACCCGCTGCTTCATACGCCCGGGTCAGCTTTTCCATTCCCAGGGCTGTGTGCGTCTCCTGGATCAGGGCACCTGTGGTGACAAGTGACGTTTGGGCTGATGGATTATCTCCTAAAAATACCCAGTCCTGCCAGCTCCACCCTCTGTGCTGTGGAGGATATTCTCGTTTTCTAAGAGATAATTCTGTGACAGGGTGCATGAGGGCAGGTTTGTGTTAATGGATACTATCAGCCAGACACACTCATGTGAAATAAAATGGATGCCTAATGAAATTACTCTATATGGAAAACTATACAGTGCAGGAAATTTTGCATTTCTATGCAAGATGTTTCAGTTGCAGTGTAACATAGCCAATGCTCTTACGCAAACACTAGGATGCCTCTTTAAGTTTTCTAAGCATTATTTGCTTTATAATAATAAGCTAATACAACTACCAAGGGGACAGTGGGGGATCAGAGGCAAGTGGCTAAACTGTTCCTTAAAATCACTGTTTCTCCATCCTTCCTCCTGACTGCAACCCCACACACTGGTCCTGTCAAATGCCGCTCCGTATCTTCAGCCACATTCCCTCTGCCATCCACCTACAGCATCTCTCACTGCCTCTGAGCAGGTTCCCAGTCCTGCACACAGATTTCCCAGTCTCTCACCACGGTCACGTTCTTGTGGCAGAGCACCAGCCCCGCTGCTCCCTCCTCATCCTCTTACTCGGCATCTTCACCTTTGCATGCTGTCTCCCGCAGCCCATGCTACATGTCCCTGCAGCAGGACCTGAGCTTCAAAGCCCTGTGTCTTTTCCCCTTCCTATCGCATTTTTCCACCTCAAACCAGAAGCAGAATTCCCATGGTGCTTCTGAGCATGGGTAGGCTCTTCTTACAAAGGAGCAAGTGGCTTAACACTATTCTGTAGGTATCTTTGTGTGTGCAACACATCCAAGGTACGTGGATGTCATTCCTTACCCCTTTCCAAAGAGCACTCTCAGGGCAAAAGCCTACATGAAAACACTCGAGGCAGAACAGCAGATTCACAGTAACACAAAGGTAGAAAGTGCTTGGCAGGTCGGACCCACAAATCCACAAGCTGTTGCTTGAAGTGCTTGTGCTAAAACCAGCTCTGGCACCCCAGCTAAAGACAAGGGGAAAGTTAAATCTAAATCATATGAACAAAGCACTTAGTTATGCAAGCTTAGAGACAGATGCTGGAAAATTATTCTCTTGATGTTGAGAATTTTCAAGCTCCCTTGCACTATAGTCCTGACTACAAACGGTCATGTTTGCTCCAGTCATGCTCCCTAATGAAGGCGATAGGATCACCAGCAGGCTTTCCAGCCTAAGGAAAAAAAGTCATATTTACAAAGCAGAAGGAGAAAAACTGCTTAATCTTAGCGGAATTCAACATGGGTTCATAAAAGCATTTTTGTATATCCATGTGAGTCGACAAAATGTGTCCTAGTTGTGGTCACTCGTATCATAACATCTATAATATTTGTAAATAGCCAATATTACAATAATTGTTCTATGTTAGACCTCATAGTTAAACATGTAAATGGGTATTAGGCAGACTTTATTTTTAGTAGATAAGAAAGATTCCCTTTGCATGAATGAAACTTTACTTTATAATGCTGAAGCGTGTTTTAAAATGCAGAAGCACTCACCATGATAAATCTTTTAAGTTTTCCATTGAGAAATCTTGGATTATATTGGAAGTACCAGGAAGTGATTCAGATGAGATTAAAAAATGATGCATAGTTTACAGGTGTTTTATACATGAGTTTTGAGGCAGTTGTATTATTTGCAAGTCTAGTAGTCAATTCCCCACCTGGCAGAGATTGGGAATGCAGCCTGGTATGATTCTTCCACGTTCTGTGTTAAATATTTACCAAATAATGCCCGTATCCGTAATTGGTTTATAGACTGCAAGAAAAAAGAGGCAAAAAAGAGGTGGATGAATTTCAAAATGTTTCAGTATCTGAAAGATCTATGATCTTTTGGGGTGCAAGTGTGAGAGCTGTCTGCCTCACAAAATTTTTGTCTTCCTTTCCTGGTCATAAACAAGAAATACCTTTAGGACAGCCCTTCTCACAATATTTCATTCCTACTGTTGGTAAGGCAGCTAGGACTGGACTAGGAGTAACAAATGATTTCTCTTGGAAATGCTACGTACCCATGCCCTAAAGAGTTCAGCACATAGAAGCAGTTGAAATGGAAGGATTAAAAACAATCAAAACACATCATACCCACCATATGACACATATAGCTTTTGCAATAGGACAAAGCCCTGGGTCTTCATGACAAAGTGCTGTTCACAGAGTGGATGAACCTCCAGTATCAATGGCAGTGGGAGGGGCTCTCCAACAGTGCCACCACATATCACAGCTTGTTCCCTGCACTGGGCAGTCTCATGGGGGCAAGCTTTAACATCCACCTATTCCTCCAGCCTAGTAAATTCAGGCCAATAATAATTTGTTAAAGACGGAGTTGGAGGAAGCTTCTACTGCTCTGACGGGAGACCTATTCCAGACTTCCCAGATACATGGAAGAAAACAGCAGTAATTTTGCCTCAGTCAGAATTGTAGGAGACATTTTTTATTAGAATTATAAGTGCTTAACAGCTCTGCTGCGTTTCAAGATGCTTTACAAACATTGATGAATTCAGCCTTGCCGCCACCATCTGCGTCTTTCTGCTGTAGCTTCAGACTCTTCAGACTTTGCCATCTTTGAGGAAAAGATTATTACCTCCAAGGTATTTGTCATTCAGGAGGAAGCTAATTACTTCCATTTGTGTCTGATGATTGCTTAGTGGCTTTAGCAGCACTCAGGTTTTCCTCCGTTCAGAGCTGAGTTTACAGCACTTGCCTATTTCATAACTGATCAGGACTGTTAATTTAGAAAAGATTCTCATTCAGAAGCAGCGCTTGTTTCGTTGATTGGAGTTGGAAGGAGGTCTTAGAAATTGTGAAACTGATTTAGCTGCTCCTTAGTAACAGAGGGATTTCACTCAAGACTTGGTAATTAAACTGGATGTTGAGTCTGCTTGGAAGAGGTTTTTTAAGGTAGGGGTCAAGCCACATCAGAATCAGAGGCATTGTGTGAGCTAGAGGAAGCAAGTGTTTTTTCAAGGCCACGTAGCCTGAGGCGTTTGTGGAAATGGCTAATAATCACTCTGTGCTGAAAAGGAATGAGAGGTTTCCTGTCCTCATATTGTGAAGGGGGAAAAAAAGCTGTAAGTGAAAAAGTTTGGAAAGCTAGTACAAAGAGATTTTAACACAAGCTAACTAGGGTTCATATCGTGCTTGTAATGCAGAGGACAAGACTTCCATGCACAGACTTTGAACTAGAAGTCATGCATTCATTTGCACATTTCAAGAGACATACTTTCAAAACGCCAGCCTGGGTCCTGCAAAGGCTCCACTCCTGTCCAAGACACTCCTGTGACCTCCAGTGGGAAAAGGACATAAAATGTGTTTGGGATCATCCCTCCTCTTCCTTTGATTTGCAAAGGTTTTATCTTGTTCTTAGGAACAGGACAAAAAGTCACAAAAGAAATCCAAAACCAACTCTGAAAATATCAGGTTTTGCTACAGCATATGTAGATCAATTATATATTTCTTGTGTAAACAGCAGGGCCACATAATAAACAGTGTTTTCTTATCACTCTCCAGTTCAGCATCCACCTACATATCTTTGAATGCATTGCCTAGATTGCATTCTGCAAAGTAGCTATCCAGAGGCTATTTCCAAACCAATAGGTGTCTGTATACTGTCAAAAAGCTGCTGATTCTAATTAATTAAGTGAATTGCCGGACGAAAATATTCTTTTTTTGGGTACAAAAATATTTCTATATCACTTTGTTAACAATAGAACATTTTTTTAAAAGAGTTGTGAAGAAAGTCAAAGCGTGCCCTTGAACAGCCACGACATAGGCACCTCACGTCCATTCTCCTTAGCCCTTTTTGTTATGCTGTGTAATTGAGAATTTACTGGCTTTTTATTTAGGGTAATACATGGGGATCACATCATCACAAACAAACAAAAGCTTCCTTTTCAGGAGGGATTTAGTAACTCCCAGCTCTATAATCAACAGAACTGGCCCTCACTCCATTCTGGATCATCCAAGAGATGAAAGGAAAGAAGAGTGTGAAGGAAAATGTTCCTGCATTTTGGCATTGTGTCTCCAGTCTAGTATACATGAATGGTCACAAATTGTGTCAGATAAGAACACAGGACAGAAGGGAAGGATATGGATTACCTAGTCCAGCCCCTTACAGTGAACTTAAATTGGTATGAAAACATAGCTGATTTCATCCCAGGCAGAGGGACCTTTTCTTAATTTAAATCCAGCTGTGGTCATTGGAACAGTACAGCTTCACACAAAAATATCAAAGTTGAATCCAAAGGATTCGGTGTAATTATCTAGCACTGTGCAATGATATGACACAGGTTTCAGAGACAGTCTAGGCAAGACAGCTTGATACTCAACACAAGCAAACTAGACCTTGCTGAACATTGCCTGGGCCTGGTAGCGTTGCTTCAATGCCCACAGCTTGCTGAGATGCTTCTACACAGCCCAACGTTGTGCAGTATAGGTGTACCTGAGTTACACGTGGAAGTGTAACTTTGCAGAGGGAAGAATTTGATGCATAATGCTTTTAGTGCTTGACAACCCCAAATAACAGTATATTATTTTCTTCAACAAGTCTTTGATTCTCTATAGAAATCTTCTAATTATGGGTTTTCTTTTCAATTTCCATCTTCCTTGTGCTCTTAGATCCTCTAAGCAGAGTGTATTTGAAACCAAAAAATCCATCTGACTCCTTGAGTACCTACATAAATGCTAACTACATTAGGGTAAGTAAATGTACACTCTTCATGTGCTTTTGAGACAGTATTTGATGTTCCACGTGAATAGCTGATTTTGCCAAGGTGCCACTCATTTTACTTCTATCCATCTTCATTGGTAATTCCTAATCTTTTTGTCTACGCTGGTGTGATAGAAATAGTTTCATGAGCCGTTTGCAACAAAGACCGCATAGCCATGAATGTGCTAAAATCATTGCAGTAAGAAAACAATTTATCAGTTTATGAAAAACATGAAGAAACACATGCATTACTATTTGTCTACTTCAGTATTTACCATGTAGTATTGTCCTACTGCCTTATAGTAAGGAAAAGAGGGTTACCTTTTAACAGTGACAGAGATACCAGTATTTTGGTAAAGAGAAGATCAGAGTCAACAACAGTACAAGCTATATGATTGCTCATTGCAGTCAGGTTATTCACAAGCAAGTTCAGTGGTGATGTTATTTTTTTCATGCATAATTATATCAATTGATAGTTCTGAAATCATCACTTAAGTAATTAAATAAATACTGTAACAAGTTTGTGAAAAGGAGCATAAACAGATGCGTTAAATACATACATGTGCATCAGTACACGCACACGCACTCATTCACATTTTACTCCCTATATGAAATGGTTGCATGACACAAAGACTTTACCAGCATGAACCTTGTTGGAAAGCATTATTTCTAAGTGTCAACTATGTTATAATCCTCGATGACACACACTCAGAGTCTTCTTGAACTCATGGCACAGTATATTCTGAATAGACCACTAAGAAACTACTTCAGTCATGTTTTAGGAGTGTAGTCCTCTACCTGCAAAATTAAATGTTTTGATTAGTGTTATGTACCAGATCCTCAGCTGGAATAAATGTAATAGTGCAACTGAAATTTGGCCCCAGAGCTCTACAATTACATTGCTTGTTTAAAAAAACGTACATGAGCATATACGTACACATCTCCTGTGTCCCTTACCCCGCCTCACTTTACATCCTGTACTTTCAGTGTTTTGTATGAAAAACATCATCATGTAACTAAGCAGAGAGATTCTCTTTAGAGAGCAGCTCTTCCATCAGTGAGGCCATGTTTTGAGTCCTCTGAGATCTTCCTGTCCCCATGCTACCACCCTTCAGGCCAACATATTGTGATTTCTTCTGCTGCTAACACTGATTGAACTGTCAGCAACTGCAGAAAAAATAAAATCTAGTAATGAAATGAAATTTCACATCCATGTATGCAACATCATTATTATTGTGCTTGCTGGGATCCTGACAGACCTGTCTGGGACAAAAGGTGTTCAGGCAGATTGATGAGTAAAAGGACTGTTTATACCAGCTGAGGATCTATCCCATCAGTTCATGCAATGAGTAACAGCTGTCAGGGAGAAAGGCACCCAAAAGGAAGACCCATGGCTAGAGGCTCCCGCACCA